GCTTTCCTCCCCCCCCCCCCCCTCCCCCTTCCCTCAATCTTCTCCCCCGCTTCCCTCCCTCCCCCATTCCCTCCCACCTTTTCCGTCTCTCTCCTCCTGATGCTCTTCCTATGCTCCTCCTGTCTGTCTTGCTTCTCTTGACTTCATCTCCTACCGCACTCCTTCCCTTATTCCACTACTCCTCTCCTCACTTCCCCGCTCTTTCCCCTTCCCAGGCGAGGGTCTGAGTCGCCACTGCGGCAGCCCCAGTGTACATGGCGCCAGAGGTGGTCAGATGGATGCCTGCTCAGACTCCTGGATGCCTTACTTGACTGTGTCTCCTGCCTTGCTTTCTCTTCTTTCGTCTTCACCAAAACATCCTCCCCACGGCTTCCCAGGCGAGGGGCTGAGTCGCCACTGCGGCAGCCCCATGTACATGGCGCCAGAGGTGGTGAGATGGAGGCCGGGGGCGCTGGGGGCGGGGCGCAAGCCGCCCAAGTACGGCCCTGAGGTGGACATCTGGAGCGCTGGGGTCATCATCTACGCTCTGCTCTCCGGGTTCCCTCCCTTCTACCACAGTACGTCTTGTGCACAGTATTATGCTACTACAGTGAGCCTTGCACCACATCTGGAGGTGGACGGGGGTGGATATAATGTAGGCTTTGCCTTTGCAATCCACAGCCTTGTGCCACAGTGAATGGTTACCACCTGTTTAACTCGGTGGAGAGTTTCTGATGGTTAAGCATTGCCATCGCCCCGTCAACAAACGCTCCAGCCCCTTCCCCCCCTTTCCCATCAACACTCACCCCTTCCCTACCCACACCCCCGCCCCCCCCCTCTTTCTCCCACTTGACGGTATTACGATTCAGTCTTTTTGTTAAAGTAGACCCTGTATACAGGTGGTAGCTCCCTTGCTGTCTAAAACGCCACATTCATTTCTCTCCCTTCCCACTCGTTCCCCCCGCAGGCAGCCACTCGTCCAAGGAGATCTTCAAGGCCGTGCTCAAGGGCAACCCGTCGTTCACAGTGCCGCCGTGGCCGGAGATCTCAGACCAGGCGAAGCACCTCGTGTCATGGATGCTGCAGTCCGACCCCGCCATGCGCCCCACCGCGCATGAAGTGCTCTGTGAGTGCCATGCACCAACTACTTCTTCCCTCTCCCCCCCAACCCTTCCGTCCGCTCTCCCTCTCTCCCCCTCCCGGCCCCTCTCCCACTTTCCTAAATCCGTGGCGAGCCTTGGGTCTCCACACAGACGCCACTGTGCTTCTCTGATCATCACCCCTCTTCGTCGCTCATTTGAATTGCAACCCTCACGTGCCCCTCTCTCTATCTACACATTCCCCTCTTACCACTTCCCTTCCTCTCCCCCGCCCGCCCTCCCTAATCTCCCCCCTGTGTAGGCCATCCGTGGCTGGGCGACCCAGGCATTGCCACGCAGGAGCCGCTGCCGCCCGTGGTGCTGTCCAGACTGAAGCAGTTCACGTCCATGGTCAAGCTCAAACGGGTCGCCATGAAGGTGGGTGGAAAGTGGTGTAGAGTGATGGAGAGCAATAAACAGTGGTTCGGATTAATAAGAATGAAAGCATGTGTGGGTGGTGAGGTGATCGAAGCAGTTCGCAGCCAAATATCAAATGGCCCGAAGGCAGAGGAGATTGCAGGCCTGAAGCAGGAGATATTCGTTATAATGCTTTATATGAACAATGTCTCCCGCAACAACTCACCGTGCCTTCACCATTCACCATCGTTCCCATGGATCAACTCTGCACTCGTTCTCCCCTTGCCCCTTAGCTATCCATGCATGCATGCATGCAGGTCATTGCGGAGGGGCTGAAGGAGTAGCAAATCTCGGGGCTGAAGGAGATGTTTGAGATGATGGACACGGATGGCATGGCAGCGAGCGATGGATGCCCTCATGCATGATGCACCACATGTCTCCTCAATGCAGAGAATGCTCCCCATTCGCCTCGCCCATCCCATGCATAACAGGTCATTGCGGAGGGGCTGAAGGAGGAGGAGATCGCAGGGCTGAAGGAGATGTTTGAGATGATGGACACGGATGGCAGCGGCACCATCACCCTGGACGAGCTGCGCGTGGGACTCAAGAAGGTTGGCGGTAACCTCACAGACGAGGAGATCGAGAAGATCATGGAGGAGGTGAGCAGCGGTGGGGTGCGGTGAAGAGTGGATTTGGGTGAGCACGGAAGGTGAGAGTGGGAAGGACCCTGTGTGGGCCGTACGAAGGTTGGCAGGAACTTGACAGACGAGGAGACCGAGAAGATCATGGAGGAGGTGAGGAGTGGTGAGAGGAGAAACTGGTGAGAAGTGGTGGCGCCTGGTGAGCTGTGGTGTAGGGTGAGAATGTGAAGGTGAGAGCTGGATGGACCCCGAATGGGGCTCAAGAAGGTTGGAGGCAACGTCACAGACGAGGAGATTGGGAAGATTGTGGAGGAGGTGAGGAGTGGTGCGGATTGGTCATGAGTGGTGTGGTGGGTTCGGTGAGGAGTTGTAGGGTAAGGATGCACAGGTCAGAGTGGGAAGGACTCTACGCGGGGCTCAAGAAAGTTGGTGGAAACTTAGGAGATTGAACAGATCATAGGGAAGGTGAGGAGTGGTGGGGTGCGGTGAGGTTTGTAGAGCAAGAAGTGGAGGTGAGAGTGGGAAAGACTCTGTGTGGGGGGGGAAGAGGTAGACATTGACATAGGGAGAATGGGCCGATTGGGGAGATTTAGACCTTGCAGCAACAGTGTCATCCCATCCACCCCACTGCACCTTACCCCCACCCGGCACCCCTCATCCCTATGTCAAACCCATTTCGTCCCCTATGTTCTCCTTAGTCTTCTCCCGCTCCTGGTCGCATTCACTCCATCTTCCCTTCTCGCCCCCTTCCCATCACCTCCTTTTGGCCTCTCACCCCCCCACACAGACGGACATTGACCACAGTGGCGAGATCGAGTACGGGGAGTTCCTAGCAGCGACGCTGCACCTGAGCAAGATAGACAAGCAGGAGAACCTGCTCAAGGCGTTTGAGTACTTTGACGCGGACGGCAGCGGCACCATCACGCTGGATGAGCTGCAGAAGGCATGTGAGGAGCTGCGGCTGAGCAAGGACGAGATCATGGCCATGATGGAGGAGATCGACGAGAACAACGTGAGTCGCATGTTGTCTTAGAGCGTGCGAGTGCTGGTATGGGGCAGGACTGAAGAGGGGCGTGTGAGGAGCTGCGGCTGAGCAAGGATGAGGTCATGGCCATGATGGAGGAGATCGATGAGAACAACGTGCATGATGTTCTATGTTTGAGGGTGTGGTTGTTGGTGTGGGTGTGGCCTAGTTGTGAGGAGCAAGGATGAGATCATGATAAGAGATTGATGAGAGCATTGTCTAATTGAGGGTGTGAGTGTGGGTGTAGAGGTGTGGGAGGGTGTGTATGCTGGTGTGGGGATGGGGTGGGCGTGGGTGTGGGCGTGGGTGTGGTTGTGGTTGTGGGTGTGGGTGTGGTTGTGGGGGTGTGGGTGTGGGTACTCAAGCTGTGGCACAGTGGTCTAGAAAGATAGGGTGAGTTGGAAAAGCTAGGGGCATGTGAGGAGATACGACTGAACAAGGATGACGAGGTATGGACATAAGTCAAGGAGAAGAGACCAATAATAGCATGACTGACGCGTGTGTATTTGCGTTGGGAATGGTGCTTTGCTGCTTGCCTCTTTTCACTGGTTACATGCTCACAATGCTCACGATTCTGCACTCCGTGCTCAATCCACCCTCGCCTCTCTTGCAGGATGGAACCATTGACTACAACGAGTTTGTGCAAATGATGCGCAAGACACAAACAGGAGGAATGAGCCGGCGCGACATCATGGACGGCAACATGGGTGTGACAGATTCTGAGCTCTCAAGCAACACATTCCGTAACCTCATGGCTCCTGGTGAATAGCTGTGCACATGTCACTTTAACAGCATTCAATGCCATGACCAACTATAGTGAGATCTGACTGTAGGAAGGAGGATCAGTGTGCATGATATTGAATGATAGCTGCCATCAGAAATGTGTCAGCAGACACTTGTTTTTTAACCTGTAGCGTGTACTGATGGTCGTAGGTATACCTTGCTCTAGTGCTCTTCAGGCCCTCATAACTGGTGTTTTCGTCAGCGTCGGTTACGATTTCGGCAACCTCGCAAGGATCGTTTGATCCACGAGTGTCGGCGGTCCTCCGTACGTGCCCCTGCGACAAGGACTGTGACTGCGACATGAAAAGCGAAGCGAATCGACAAAAAGGGTCGAGGCGACAGATGTGTTTCTGGAGGAACACATCGTTCGTGAGTGTTCGAATATTCCTCAAAACCTTACCCGACCGTTCTAGTATTCGTTTGTGCCGCTCTGGCACGCAAAAGTACTACCCCACCAGATTAGCACTTAATTCGTTCCCTAAAATACTTCAGTCGTCAGACAGACACCACAGGACAGCAATATTAGTAGGTGCTTCCCTTCGATCAGCCTGGAGTTATTGCGTTACGTTGTCCAACTCCCCAAATTTTTGTGCGTTTAAGGCACAGAGTGCTGGCAGTGCAGATAGAAGGTGCTTCTTGATTGTGACCGACCCTTCGAAGCGCTTGTCGTCCTTTAGAGATCAGAACGACGTAAGAGTAGTCGAGTTTAACTAGCACGTATTGGTGCCGGGTTCACATCTCGCTTTCTGGAATTTTTTCTTGTACGCGTGACATGTACGACGGTTTGCACTGTCCTATGCTGACGACGCTTCTAGTTAAATGCCATCATAGCTTACTCTCCCTTTTTGAAGTGATTGGAACATTTTTTGCGGTCGTTTCTTGAAGCTCATGCATCCGCAACTGGTTTACGGACTCGGGAAGCGAAAGCTGGGGTGAGGGAGGGTAGTAGAATAGGTTTTTATTATTAATCTGTAGTCCTTACCCAGCATACAGGACGCGAGTGTGCGAAGGAGAAGACGATTGCGCGACGTAGTAAGAGCCGGACGGAGCAATAACGGTAGCGCGTTTCACGGAACGATGGAGGAAAGAACTGATAAGGGGAAGGAGCACGCGAAGTCAACGTCAAGGCAAAAGCCAGCATCGAGACAAGGCACGGCTTTGAACCGAGACGCAGCGGCAACGCAAGCAGCAGCAAGGACCGATCCTGCATCGCAGTCACAGCGAGAGGCGTCAGAGCAGCAGCAGCGCGTGCCGCTGCGCGCGATGGTGCACGAGTGCATGCAGCGGTGGTTCCGGCAGACGCAATCCGAAGCGGAGAGCGGCGTGGCTCCCATGCAGACGCTGCTAGCGCAGATGTACCTGTCGGGGTATGGCGTCAAGGCGGACGCAGCCAAGGTGAGCAGAGATGAAAAATACTTGTCCGTAAAATTTCAAATATTGACTCACACTTTCGGGGTGCTCTCCATGTTAAGACTTTCAAGACTCACTTCAACAGTTGTTCAAGAGTCAGTCCGATGGTTGCAAGGTTAGGAAACGGGGAGAACAAGTTTTTGTTCGCTTTTCTTATTTTGGGCCGGTATTTCGTGATGATGTAAGGCTTGTCAATCGCCTTCTTAAATGGATTTCTGGGGTTGTGGTATTGGAGCCGACGTTCAAGTTAGGGGAGAGGAAAGCGATTTTAACTGTTGAGTTGACATGTATGTCACCTCGGGGTTAGATACACCTCTTGAGGGAACGCATCAATGTGGGTGCACGTCAGGTGAGGTGGGGAAAACGTCATTCAATTCCTCAGGGTGAATGCTTTCCCCCATTCCTACATGTTTCCATTCCTCTGTAGATCTTCCTGCCTTGTGCTTCTGGTCCCCTCTTTTTCTTCCTCCATGCTATCCGTTCACTTTCCTGTGCTCCTATGTGTGTACCCTCATTCTGCTCCTGCGTGTGTACCCTCATGCAGGGAAAGGAGTGGCTGAAAAAGGCAGCAGAGAGGGACGGACAGGCTAGAATAATGTTGCGATCAATAAACGGTACGATGATGAGGTGATGGGTGTGTGTGGGATGTGATGGTGGTGACAACGACAGTGACGAGAATATGATTGCCTGAATGCGGGAATGGTTCCTGCTGATGCTGGAAATGATGACTGGTACACTAAGGTGATTCTTTTGCTGTTGGATAATTCTGTGTCTTGCTTGTCCAGGCTATTGTTCAGCCTCCACTGTTTCATGACTGCCCCCTTGCTTCCGTCCCTTCCACATTCACTTTCCAGCCAAGTCAGGCAACACTGCTGTCTTTGATGACGACTTCTGAAGCCTCTTCCCTTTCGCTGTGTTTTAAAAGGTTTGCCTAATTGGCCAGTATGGCCAACTACCCATGCTACCAGTACCGTACAAGCTGTGTTGTGAAAGATTGCAATTGCCGTGTGTTGTGTTGTGTTGATCCAAAATCCCACTTTTCACCAACCCGGCCTCATGCAGATACGGTAGCAGTTCCTATATTGCACTCAATAAGCATGTAATATTTTTATCCAGTATTCTGTACTCCTGTGGGAGGTTCCAAGATCCTTTGCGTCATGCTGGCAGTGTTCTGTGAACACCAGGCACCAAATTCGGGTCTAGGTATTTACCAGCAACATGTGCTGAAGCAATTTTGAGACAACTTTGACTCCAACGGTACATTCGTTGCCTCAATTTTGAAACAAGCTTTCACAGTGGGGTATTGAGAGGCAGTCTATTGCAACAAAGCCTTCTGGTATGTATAACAGAAGTACCTCAACACAAAAAACACTCAAAACCAGAACCAGAACACCGTTTTGAAGGGCAACCTTCACCCAACTTAGTCACAAATGGGCTGCCAAAACGAATTACGGTACCCCAATTAAACAGCCAACGAATTACGGTACCCCATACCGTCAGCCCCCGGATAGAAGCGCCCCTGGGGGTATAAAAAAACACTGTTTTTTGGGGGGTGCGCTTATAATTGAGGAATTTTATAAGCGCCGGCGCTTATAAAATGGCAAAAAGAATATATATTTGTTTTACACCAAACTGTATATCTCGTTCTGCCGATTGTAATCAAGTCGAAAAAATATAGGGTCGCGAATCTGATTCTCGCGCAGCTTGGCAGGGAGTGATTCCCTGCCTGTCTGCTCAGCATTCAGCTCGTGAAGACTCGTGAGGCGGGTGAGGGAGGCGGGGAGGTGCTGCAGTGCTGAGCAGTGCGACAGGCGAAGAATCTTCAGCCTGGACAACGCACCAATGCCACTCGGGAGGGAGGCTAGCTGGGATGCGTGACTTATGTCCAACGATATGTGTCAAATTATATGTATGTCATATATATGTAGGCTGTAGTGGGGTAGCCAACATGGTGTACAACCCCATTAGGGTTTCACATTTGTACCCAACTCTTTCATAGTTCATTCATTCATGCTACTACATTCTGACATGGTTTCAGAGTACTAGGTCCGTAGGACCGTCTTTTTTTTCCGGGCCCACCTACCGCTGCGGTTACCGTGCTACCCCACGTGTTGTCCTGCGCTAGACTTCGCCTGCCTTGCCTTGTGACGTGCTGCGCTTCGCGCGCCGTCCTGCAGCCCTCGCGCTGCCTACTGTTGCCCTAGCTACGCGCGCACAGCCCTACAGACCCGTAAGACCACCGAGCCGCCCCTGCAAGCCCGTAAGGCCCGCGAGCCGCCCCTGCTGGTCCGTCAGACCCGCTAGCCGCCCCTGCAGGCCCGTCAGGCCCGCACCCCGCCCCTGCAGACCCATCAGGCCCGCGAGCCGCCCCGGCAGGTCCGTCAGACCCGCGAGCCGCCCCTGCAGGCCCGTCAGGCCAGAGCGCGGCCCCGCCCTGCGGCCGACACGGCCCCGCCCTGCAGCAGCTGCCGCAGCCCTGCCCTGCCGCTGTCGTGGCCCCAGCCCTGCAGCTGACGCGGCCCTACTCTGCAGCCGCTGTTGCGGCCCCGCCGTCGCCGCCGTCGTGCGCCTGCCCTTCCCACCACTGGTGAGCACCTGCCCTACCCGCGCTTCCCGCGTGTCTGCCATGTTAGCGCGCTGCAGCACCATCTGCCTGCCTGCCTGCCTGCTTGCCTGCCTGCCTGCCTGCCTCGCCTGCCCTGCCCACACTGCTACTGCTACTACTTCTGTTACCGCTGCTGCTACTGCTGCTGCTACTACTGCTACTGCTGCTACAGGCGGTGGCCAGATGCAGCTCCAGCGACGTCCGCGCGAGTCTCTCACGCCCCACCAGCTTCGTGGGTGGTACGTTAGTTGGGGTTGTGACGGTAGCAGTCGTAGCTGTCGCCCTGGAGCTGGTCAGCTGGGAGCGTCTGGCAGTGGCCAGCTGCAGCTGCAGCGGCGCCCGCGCGAGACACTTACGCCCCAGCAGCTTCACGAGTGGTACGCTCAGAGTAGAGGGTCTCGGAGTACCGTTCGCTGCCCGTACGTCATTCGCACAGGTGATCGGGCTGGTCAGGCTTGCGGGACGCTTAGTCACACATAGTCCCGCTGCTTCGCCTGTCTGAGCGACGCCTGGCGTACCGAGTTTGGCGACGAGGCTGAGCTCCCCACCTGGCTGGAGCCGCTTAGGCAGAGGGTAGATATCTTTGCTCTTGACTATGATGCTATTCTCACTGCCATGTATGCATTGCCTACGAGTGCTGACGGTGCCTGTTACCTTTGCGTACCGCCTGACCCAGGTATAGAGTCCGCTGCTCTAGGTGCTGGTGAGGCTGCTGCTCTGGGTGCTCGTGCGTATCCTGCTCTAGGTGCTGGTGCGAGTGCTGCTCCGGGTGCTGGTGCGTCTGCTCTCTCAGGTACTGCACTTGCTGAGTCCGTGTACACCTTCACACTTGACTCAGGTGCTTCCCGCTCCTTCTTTCGCGACAGCACCACCCTCACGCCGCTCAGTCGGCCAGTTCCAGTCTCCCTGGCAGACCCCTCTGGGGGTCCAGTCCTTGCGCACTCCTCCACGGTCCTGCCGTGTCCGGCGGTCCCGTCTGGCTCCCTGTCAGGTCTTCACCTCCCCTCGTTCTCTACGAACTTGGTGAGTGGTGCTGACCTCCAGGACCAGTAGGTCGACCAGTTCACACCTGGACGTCACCGTGTGACCCACTGTACGTGCTCCCGGACGGGCCGGCACCTGGCCACGTTTACCCGTGTGCCTGGCTCGAGTCTGTACACACTGACTACTGTGTCCCCTCAGGTCGCTACGTCTGCGTCTGCGTCAGGTCAGCTAGCGGCCCCCTGCTCGTGTCGCGCTTTGTCGCACCAGACCCTCCTTTGGCACCACCGTCTTGGTCACCCCTCGGTGCAGTGCCTTCGTAGCATGCACCGCCGTGTCCCAGGGTTCTCCCTCCCCTCCCACCCTCGCATGCTCCTCCTTGTCTTCCCTGTGTCGAGGGGCGGCAGCACGCCGCTCCTCACTCCTCCTCGTTTCCCCCGACGACTGCTCCCCTGCAGACCCTGCACATGGACGTGTGGGGTCCAGCCTGCGTCAGTGGGCAGGACCGCGAGCGGTACTTCCTGCTGGTTGTTGACGACTACTCGCGTTACACCACGGTCTTCCCTTGCGCACCAAGGGTGAGGTCCCTGATGTTTTGATCCCTTGGATCCGCGCTGCCCGTCTCCAGCTCCGCGAGCGGTTCGGGACGGAGTTTCCCGTCCTGCGTCTGCACTCTGACAGAGGTGGGGAGTTTTCCTCCGACCTTCTGCAGAGCTTTTGTCGTGGGGAGGGCATTCTCCAGACGTTCACGCTTCCGGCCTCTCCGCAGCAGAATAGGGTTGCTGAGCGCCGCATTGGCTTGGTCATGGAGGTCGCTCCTACCTCCATGGTCCATGCGGCAGCCCCCCATTTTCTGTGGCCGTTTGCGGTTCGCTACGCCGCGCATCAACTCAACCTCTTGCCCCGTGTCTCCTTGCCGGAGACCTCGCCCACGCTGCGGTGGACGGGGGAGGTTGGCGATGCGTCGGTGTTCCGGGTCTGGGGTTCTCGTGCCTTTGTCCGCGATTCCACCGCGGACAAGCTCTCCGCCCGCGCTGTTCCCTGTGTCTTCCTTGGCTTTGTCCCTGACGCGCCTGGTTGGCAGTTTTACCACCCCACCTCGCGCCGTGTCTTCCCCTCTCAGGACGTCAGGTTCAACGAGTCGGTTCCCTTTTACCGTCTCTTCCCCTACCGCACTGCCCCTCTCCCCCCCCCGCCACTCTTCCTCGCTCCAGGTGCTACCCAGGTAGACCCCCTCCCCGCTCCCGGTCCTGCTCCTTCAGGTGTGTCTCAGGTAGACCCTCCTACCTTGACTGCGCCGGTTGAGGTCACTGGTGACTCAGGTCCTGCTGAGGGTGGTCCTGCTCGGGGTATTGCTTCTGGGGGTGCTGAGCCGGGGGGTGCGGAGCCTGGGGGTGCTGAGCTTGGGGGTACTGAGTCTGGGGGTGCTGCACCTGGGGGTGCTGAGGCGTCTGGTGAGCAGTCTCCCTGGAGCGGCCGTCTCCGTAGTCACTCCGCTGGTGCCTCGCCGCTGCACTCTCGTCGTCGTCTCCCTCTCTCTCTCCACAGCAGCTGCGTGAGTGGTACGTTAGCCGTCTGGGTCGCGCTGCTGGATCTAGGGGCCCTGCTGCGGGAGGCGCTGGAGCTGGTGACTCTGCTACTTGAATTGTTTCTACTGGAGTTCCTGGAGCTGCTGGGACTGTAGGCCCTGCTGGGCCTAGAGGTGCTGCTGTCGACTCTGAGGTTGGAGGCCCTGGAGCTGGAGGTGCCGGCTCTGGGGGTGCTACTTCTGGTGGCGCTGGAGCTGGAGGTTCTGGAGCTGCTGGGGGTGCTGGCGCTGGAGGTTCTGGCGCTGTTGGAGGTGCTGGCGCTGGTGGCGCTGGAGCTGGAGGCTCTGGAGCTGCTGCGGGTGCTGGCGCTGCAGGTGCGACGCCTGAGGGTTCTGAGTCTGCTGTTGCGCGGTCTCCTTGGAGTAGCCGCCTTCGTCCGCGTGTGCCTCTCACCTCACAGCAGCTGCACGACTGGTACGGTCGCCGTCAGGGTCGCGCTTCTGGAGCTCGGGGCTCTGCCGCTAGAGGTACTGGAGCTGCTGGGGCTGGAGGTGCTGAGCCTGAAGGTGCCACTGCTGGAGACCCTGGGTCTGGGGGTGCTGCTGCTGGAGACACTGAGGCTGGAGACCCTGGGACTGGAGGTGCCGGTTCTGGGGGTGCTGCTGCTGGTGGAGCTGGTCCTGGAGGAGCTGGCGCTGAGGGTTCTGGAGCTGCTGGAGGTGCTGGAGGTGCTGGAGCTGCTGGAGTCTCCGTCGTCTCAGCCACCGCCTGACTCTGTGC